CTTCTGAAAGTAGGCAAAGGACTTTTCCATCCCTACTCGTTGGCTCTCACCCCTGCTGGCTGAGTAAACTGATAGCAGTGTGGTTTCTTCCTCAGGGAGACACCCTCTGAATCTCACATGCCTGGGTCTTGGCTGTGATTTCCAGTTGGACACACCCCTCTGATGAAATGGTGAGCTCTTTGAGGGCAGCAAAAAGGGCCAGAGCTACTCTGGACTTTCTCAAAATGCCTGGCACAGCCCTGAGTGCGCAGGAAACGCGTGCTAATGCAACTGTGTTTAACTCAAACCAACGCTGACTAAGCTTCCGTACTGTGTGGGGTCACTGCACCAGCCCTGGGCTGAGGGTGTGGAGCGGGGGCTAACATGAATGAAAGAGGTAATTAACATTTGCACGACCCAACACGTGGGGAAAAAAAGAAGACTAAAAACACATGCTAAGGATTTCCCCTGCATTCACTCCCTTACTCTCCACCAGGTAGATGCACCATTCCCTCCTTCCAGAGGAGAAAAATGAGGTTCCCAGAGGAGTCCTTTGGGAGAGCAAAGCCACATCTGCATGGTTCCCACTTCACCCCATTCGCGCCTCTGCACTCTCCCTACTCACATGCCTCAGTGTAGGATACAAATATATTTCTGTTTGACCAAATGAATTAATACACAAATTACCATAACCCAAGACAAATTATGATTTGTCTTTTAATAGAGACACCAAGTATTATGGGGAGGCCAAAGAAATCCTTGCAACTCCTAGCGACAGGGCAAAGGGCTGACCTACCAATTATGGTCTGATGGAATATCAAGTCAGAGACTCGGTTCCCAAAGCAGCAGAGATGCCTTCATCTCCAGAGCAGAAGTATGAAGTCCAGCCACCAGCTCTGCTGAACGCCTCAGGAAGGAGAGCTTCCTGTGTCACAAGGCACTCCATCCTACTGTGGATAGTTCTCATTCTTAGAAAGGTTTTCTTTACTTTGGCCCTGAAACGACTGCCCTGGGAATGCTTAGTCTAAGTTTTACCCACAAAGGATTAACCACATAAATTGGTTGGTTGACCGAAGGTCCGTAATTCCCGGGAGAGCACTGCATATTCCTGATGGCCTTAGTGCGCCCATGTCTTCCTTAGGCCACTGCAGAAGGAGAGAGGTGCTTGCTTGGATAAGAGGAAATAGGCTTTGGGGAAATGCTGGGGGTGGGGGCGGGGTGGAGAAATATCTGCATCTCATGTTGGCAGCCTTTCGTGTAGAACACTGGAGAAATGCAACACAAGGAGACAAAATAAAAACAAGAGGAGATTGGAGATCTTTGCAGGCACTCAAACCAAATCATTTCTGGGGTTCCCAGAAGAGAGAGAACTTGATTCTTTCCGTTCATTTCCATTTTTGTTCTGTCTCAGGGACTTCTTGAATTCCAGCTGGGCCAGGAAGGTGCCTGGCCAAAATATCCAAAGAATGTCTCTTATTATAAGATGTCCAGCCCATTTGCACAACCAGGAAGTTTTGATACTTCTGATAATATTTGGATATAAGGCTCAATGTTCAGGGTGGAGTAACTTAGCCCTAACCAAATTTGGAAATCTTGCTTAAGGAGAATGGCTGAGAGAGACTGGAAACTATTAGAAGTGGAGAGTTTATATGAAATCAAAAATGAAGTTTTAATCAATTTTCGAGACTCATACAGCACAGTGCAGCACAATGAGTGTTGCTTCTCTGGAGCAGTCATCGTGAGAGCCTGCCCACTGACTGGAAGGGCTGCTCCTCTTGATAGAATTCTCATTGCTACATCTTGCTCACTGACCAGGGCAGAGGTGGAGCCTTTCATTTATTCGGTGTCTTCCCCAGACTCCAGCACAGGGCTAGGCACATAATTCCAACAGACTCCTACGTTTATCAAGTTTACAGCACCAAGGAAAGACAGAATGGGACAAAGCTGGTTTATAAAGAAGAAACGGGGACAACTGTAGTCATTTCATCACTGCCCAAATCAATGGATTTCCTAGTGAACACCAGCGGTCCAGGACATGGGCCACCTAGATAGGGAGTGGGAGTAGCATGAACTCAAAGGCGTGACACTGACCACGCGTCTGCTACAGGAGAATTCAGGTGCCTCATGGGGGCTGCACAGTGACGCCGACACTAAGATCTGGCATCGGGGATCCTTCATGCCCGTTCCCAGTGATATGTTCCCAGAATTCATTTACCTCCAACTTTTGGACGTGACGGGATAATTTGCCATCACCCACTGTCATCTTCCATAAGATCCTTCTGTTCCTAGATTCTCCCCTCGTGGGCTGTGTGCCTTTGGGGAAGCCACTCCACCTCTCAGTTTCTCCAAGATGGGTAATAATTCTTAGCTTGAAGAATGGTGAGGGGATTGGCTATGAGATGTCCATGAGCACCTAGCATGGTGGCTCGCGGACCTGGGTAACCCCTGGCTCCTCCCCTACTCCTCTCAATCTGCTTTGGTTCCCACTCTCTGGACTCATGCTCCTACAGGGCCTGTTCCTGTAGGAATGCTCACACGTGTTGGTGTGTGTGTGTGTGCATGCGTGCGTGCGTGTGTGTGTGTGTGTGTGTGTGTGTGTGTGTGTATAAAAGAGACAGAGACAGAAAGACAGAGGGAGAGAAAGAAGGAGAGTATAATTGTGTAAGAGGAAGGTGCATCTCAAGCCATCAGTCTCTTCACCGGAGTCCCTGACCGGATGAAAATTAACTACCAGCTTCCTCTAATCACTGCACAAGGTAATAGAGGCCATGGTTATACTTCTTCCTCTTCTTCTCTGTTGTCAAAAGGGAGCTAGTTTCCACTCCAGAAAGAGCCTTACCCAGAATTACACAGGCTCCATGTGTGTGTGTGTGTGTGTGTGTGTGTGTGTGTGCAGGATGGGGCCATGGTGTGTGAATGATTTTTCTAAGCATTTGCTTTCAGAGGGTAATTCAGGGGACATTTGTTCTGCTGCCCCTCAGGCCGCCCTGCCTGGCCTTGCACCCAGCCTGCACACACACGTTCCCTCCCCTGACCCTGTATTCTCCAGTGAGTTGATCTCATTATGGCAAATTTAGTTACAGCTGAAATCTCCTTGTAACAAAGATTATGTCCAAGCCCAGAGTAATGGAACCTAGTCGATTTCATTAAAATAAAATTGGTTACAATGAATAATTCAATAGGATGATTTTGTTTCCTCATCTCCTCTTTGTATATCGAAGAGCCAGTATTTATAATGATTTTTGTTTTAAATTGGATTTTTGTTTAGGAAGAGATAATCACCCATAATTCCTGACAGCCCCCTCCTTGCAAAAGTGGAATAATTGCTCCATGAAGTCTCTTTTCAAATGCTGAGACTGGAAAATTCTTCCTCTCCTTTTCTCACATTAGTAGCGATAACCTTTGGGTGATTTTTAAGCACAGCTGCTCCCTCAGTTCCTCCCCATGTGAGACTCTGAGGGTGTTAATAATTCCCCTGTTTGAATGATGGTTTCTAAACATTTCTAGGAACTGGATGCCAGTGTTGAATTTGGAACCCCTGGCTCTACTGCCACCCAGCCCTGCTGTTCCTGAGCAGGACATTCTCTGTCACAGAGAGGTGACTCTTGAACAATTTCTCTCAGTGTTGTTCATTTGTATGTAGCAATGTGTGTGTGTGTGTGCACGTGCATGTGCATGCACACATGTGTGCACATATCAATAATCAATTAAACATGCATTTCCTGAGCAGCTAGTTTTATCTAGATCTTGTGCTTAAAGATGAAGGGACAGAGAAGAATAAAACTCAAAGCTGGTTTTCAAAGAACTAGCAGCCTAATGGGGGCATCAGACACACAAACAGATCATTAGGGTTCAGCCCAGTAGGTAACACCAAAGATGGATTCAGCAAGTACAGAGGTGGCAAAGGGGAGGAGAACCCTAGACTTTCATTCACTCATTCATTCACCAGGCTGGCACTGCACATGAGAAGCATCAGGGAACACCATGTTCCCATTTATTTCCACTCTCCTCAGGGCAATTAGAAATGAATGCAAATGAATAAATGAAGAGTTTAATGAGTGTAAACATAAGCAAACAGAAAAATGAAAAAAATAACCACATAGACACTATAACTTATAAATGAGGCGGTCCCACCTTGTACCTCATCTGTTGATTTTTTTGCTGGGTCCCAGAAGAAGGTTACATCTCTCTTTCATCTAGACACCAAGCCTACCCTCCTGACCCTGACTCAGGGAAGCAACGTTAGAGAGAAATGGCTAGGAATAATGGCTCATCTGCAGGGCCAAGGGGCAGGATGGCCTCAAAGATGGCCAGCAGGCCAGGAGGTCAGAAGCACTGAGTCATGTCTCTGGGAAATGGAGTCTCGGAAGAAAGCAGGTGCTTGCTCAGCAGGATAATTGGAAAGGGGGCCCTGGGGGCAGCACAACCATCCCTGGAATCACATAAGCTCTGGTGGCCCCAACACTCTTGCTCCCTCAACTACACTGAAAGTCCTTTGGGGAAGAACCCTGGCATGTAAATAGTGCTAGGGGACTGGGGGATGAGTCACAGCTTTTTAAAGCTGGGAAGGTCCTTGGAGATCAAGTTCCACTACTTTCTCATTTAAAGAAGGGGGGTGGGGGGAATGGGGCCCAGAGAGGTGAAGAGACTGATCTAAGGGCACGCAGCAAATTCACAGGAGAGTGCTCAAGGAGCACACAACTTGGTACCCTCCACAAAATGTGGGACTCCTCCAAAAAAATGGGTTCTCACCCTATTGAATTCCAGTGGTATGTCCAAAATGGAATTCTTTTCCTGAAACATAGGGGCAGTCATTAACCTACTATGCTGATGTTCCTTGCACTTACCCCATGTCTAATCTCTGACAGACGGTATTCATGAGGCCCTGGACTTACATTTGGCTAGAGATATGGTCAAGTGGCCATGTCCAATGGCACCATCTTCGAGATGGGCATCCTTGAGGAGCAGAGCAGAAATTCAGAATGTCTGCAGGGAATGCCACCCATGGGCTGGGATCTTACCTGGGATGCTGCTGGCTGGCCAATAACGACCCAACCTGGGCATTGGTTGTCTTGATGGGAAACTGAAGCATTGGATGCCCACTGATCCAGGAACCCCTGGGGTGTGTAGACACCACAGTCCTTGATGCTAGTTTTCTGTTCAAACTCCTCACATACCCCATCACCGTCATGGAAATAGCACCGGCTGGGTTCATCTGCAGGGGATGGACATAGAAGAGAGAGAACGGATTGATATCTGTTCTTTGGTTTCAGCTCTCAGCAGCAGCTGTGAGATCGGACCAGCAGAATCATCGGCACTGCTAAGCCCATCATCAATCATCACAGTGGAATATTATTCAGCCTTAAAAAAGGAGGAAATCCTGCCATAGGTGACAACATGAATGGAGGACATGACGGTAAGTGAAGTGAGCTGGTCACGAAAGACCACAGACTGTATGATTCCACTTATATGATATGTAAAGTAGTCAACCTTAACAGAAGGAGAAAATAGGACAGTCATTGCTAGGGACTGGGAGGAGGGAACAATAACAAGTTACTGTTCAGTGGTATAAAATTTCATTTATGCAAGGTGATCAAGTTCTAGGCATCTGCTGTACAACATCGTGCTTCTAGTTAATAATACTCTATTGTACATCTAAAAATTTAAGACAGGGCCGGCTGAGTGGCTCAGTTGGCTAAGAGCTCACTCAAGAGTTTGAGCTCTGAGCAACAGCAGTTCGAGTCTAGCCTGAGCTGAGCAGCCGCTGAGCTGCCAACAGGTAGCAG